TTGAAAGTTTGAAATATTTCACATATCTATCCACACCACACCAACCCAACCAACCATAAAAAAAACCCAAAAAGGTATGCATGATCCTAGAATGTACTAGGAGAGGTACTTAGAGAAGAACTGGAGAAATATTTGTGCCACTACAAAATATTGGTGAGACCGTGTACAGTTCTGGTCCCTTACATTTAAGAATGAATTCAGACTGGAGCAGCTGCAACAGAAGGGCCACCAGGATGACTGGGGAAATGGGATCCTCTCTCATAAAGAGGAGATTAAACAAGCAAGGCATGTTAGAGTAGCAAAAAAGCTGAGAATAGGATGGGGAGAGGACACTAAACTAAAAGACAAATGATAGTACAAAAGCAGAAAAATGTGAGCTGACCACAAATAAAAAATTTAGGCTAAAGAACTGGAAGAAAAGTTAACTAGCAAAGAAATAAAAAGTTCTGGAATAGTCTGTAATAGGAGTTTGGAGGCAAGACCCCCTCAGTTTTAAAATGGTGCTCAATCACTTTTTGAAAGGAATTAAATGACATGCGGTTGCTTGCAGGAGCAAGGAGCTGGCCTCTACTGATAGAGGCGGTACTTTCCAGCTGTATGTTCCCACGGTTCTTTTAAATTGTTTCCAACCATTCTGACAGAGTGTATATAAAGAAACCTTGAAGAACATGGGTACATGTCCATCTGCCCATATCTACACAGTAAGACCCTCCTCATGGAAGCATTACCATTGACTTCAATCACACCTTATTGACAGTTTTATAGAACCACACCATGGGCAAGAAAGATACCTGTAAAGAAAATGTTCAAGAATTGCCATACACTGACAAGATTTGTTTTTTTGGTAGTTGAAGGGAACATTTTTTCATTCTCACTTTACTGTTAGATGTGGAAATCATAAGAAAAATAAAAATCACCATACCTCATTACTACACAGCTCAAGTTCCTGAAATCTCTATGGGTATATCTGTGACAGAGACTGGTAAAGAGGGCTGCTGTGAAAACATTATCTAAATCACCCACTCCCATTTTGCATACAGTGCAAGCTGGGAAAACAGATACTGTAGCTACTTCTAGGCTCAAGCTAAATATGTACCCAATGCCATCCTTCAATTCTGGTGCGCTAATGAGAGCGGTGCCACTCTAATAGTGGCTACGTGACAACTTTTCAGCATGTGATATGTGCAGAGCAGGAGTGACCACAGTATTTTTATTGCGACACTTCTTAGCATGGTCTGAAGCACTGTAGACACCCTCAGAGATGGAGGAGAGAAACTTCAAACCAAGACAACATGTTAATTTACACAAAGACTTCAAGTACTTGGGTGATAAAAATCAGGGATCTGGGTTTTCTGTTTGCTGCAGAAAAATGCTAACTTTCTCCTCTAAAGGAGAAAAAAAAAAAAAAGCAAAAGCAGGAAACAGCCTGTAAAGGGCTACTTGGGTCTGGGGGGAGCAGGAGGAGGGCAAATCAGGCAGGGGGCACCACATTCACATGGCAGCCAGGCAGCATGGAGAGCAGCTTCCACAGTGAAGTCAAGGGGGATGTAGGTTAAGGCCCCCATGGAGAGCAAGAGAGAGAAGCAGAGCTGAGGCTGGAGGTACTGCCCAGCCGGAGTGGTGCATGGGACCAAGGCAGTGACGTGCAGCCACAGGGTCTGGCTGGGGGACCAGGAGGGAACCAGCTCGTTCATGGGCTGGTGGCTCCCCACTGTTGCACACACTCCTGGTGAGGGGACCTCAGGGTCAGCACATGACCCCCCAAATTTGTTGGCTGAGCAGAGGCGGATGTGGGCTAAGGGGTCCCTGTCCTGCTGCATCCCCCCCATTGCCCTCTGCAGCTCAGTGGGCAGAACTTGGCACAGGAGGACAGAGTAGGGTGTCAGGCTTGGTGCTGCCATCAGGAGCCCCACACCTACCGTAACACTGTGATGAGATGCCCCCTGCCTGCCTGGCAGCAGTGGGGGGGGGGGCACAATTCTGTGCTGCTGCCAGGCAGGCACGGGGTATCTCAGCACAGCAGGGCAGCTGGTGCGGGGCTCCCAGCAGCAGCACAAAGCCTGCCACCTTGCTCTGCCCTCCAATGCTGGGTCCTACCTACTGGGCCATGGAAAGCCCCAGGGGCAGGGCAGACAGCCCTGAGCCCACATCTCTCCCCCCTGTTCCCACCCCCCATGGACTCCACTCCAACTGTGACACCCATGAGGGAGGGGGAGCCAGGGGCCACACTGCTCCAGTTGCAGCCTCCCACAAGTGGCAGCTGGGGCTCAGGTACTGCTGGTGGGAGGCAGGAGGTGGTGGGCCCTTGCCCTGGCCTCGTAGCTCTGGCAGTTGTGGACCCCTTCTGACAGGGCTGGGGAGGCAAAAAGGAAGGGGCAGTGGCAAGGCCAGGGGGCTGTGGCTTGGGAGTCAGAAACAATGGCAAGGGCAGGGGCAGGACACTGGGATAAAAATCAGGGCTGCTCAACATCACAAAAAACAGGGAGGACAAGGACAGCCACAACTGAACCCATGTCTTGGTGAGCAAAAGGGGGTAGAAGGAGTTCTGACTTTCTACGATTAAAAAAAAAAACCAAAACAAAACACCAAAAATCAAATGCCTAAATATACAGGTACTTAAAAATTTATTTTATTATTATATTATAATGAGGCACCAGTAGACTTCCAAACTGCAAATATATCAATAAAATATTGTATTCGACTGATACCTATTGTATTACATACATACATGTGTATGGCATTTAGTTTTAAAATGGCAGGAAAAATGCAGATTTTGGGGGTTTTTTTTAAAAAAAAACCCAAAGAATTTTGGATTGTTTTTCCATTAGAGAATTTGCAATTTTTCAGAGGATCCCTGGTGAGAATGTTCCTAAATGATATGCAAGTCAATCATTTTAACACAAAGCTAGATAAAAACCTATTTGAAAATCTGCTGAGGATTAGAGCCATGGCACTGAATTCACTCACAAGGTAGGAGCTGCTATCACTTGATAAAACCTAGCTACAGCATACAAGCAACTTACCCGGTGGGGGAATCTATTGTGCCAACAGTCCATCTTACCTTTGCTATCTCAGCTGACCACTTAAAACTGTAGGTGGTAGTTTACATCTCTCAGGACATCATTAAAACATTTCTATTAAAAAGTCATCACAGAAATACTTACAGATCTTTGTTTTGGGAGAGCATGGATGAAGAAGTCCAAAAATACTTTATGAACAAGTGAGTGCTTTATCACAGCCTCCCTATATTATTGAAAGGGAAGGGAAGGAAAACTTAATTAACTGGAAACGTTTTTATTCATATTCAAACACACCAGGCAGCTTTTTTAAACATATTTGATTTCTTATAGGCCAATTAGCTTGCAGCTTCCTGTCTGATGACGCTTAAGTTATTGGCATATTTATGGGGTTTTTTCAGTTAAAGTAGTTGACTCATGATGCAAAGGAGCCTGCAATCTATCAGCTGTAAGCAGTAAACAATCATCCTGAATAAAGTATTATTAGTGTTTATAAGATCAAAACAAAAGCAGAAATTTATTTTGCAGCGTGTGGATTTAACTAAAAGAAACAAAACAAAAACAAAGAAACAATACACTTTTTGAAAACCTAGCAAGGTGCTTCTTTAGGAAACCTCTGGATTGGGTAACCCAAAAAATCTTTTGTAGAGAAATACCCGAGGAATACCTGGCTGCTTAATTCTACGCATTTTTTTTTAAATAGACACTGCAGAATAATAAACCTGATATTTACAGTGCATGAAGCATCTCTTACTAGCCTGGTATGCAACAAGTACTATAGTCTCACCCTCCCCCTGCACCCCCAAATCAGTTTCCCCCAAATTGGAATACATGTATTAAGTGGGAGACTGATTTTCTGCCTTGGATAGAAGCATCCTGCTTTGATTCCTGCTCTACAGTGCCCCATTATTACTATTCAAGCAGCTGAAGGAGTTAATTGACTTAAAGGCCCACTGTCTTTCACTCCACAGGTGTTAATGATGGTCCCTCCTTTACAGTGGTCTTGGTGTTCTACTAATCAAGCTAACTTTCCTGACAGTAATTTTTATGTCTGCTAGCTTGTCCTGTTAGGCTAAGCAGGAAAAGGAAGGCGATTAACCGAAAATTAGGGGCTGCCCTTAGTCTATGCAACCATAACTCTGGAAAAATCTTTACTTCTCCATTCTACTTTTCAAAAACGTGGTGCAATTTTATTCCGGAGGTGTGTTATATGTAACAAAATATGGTATTCCATATACTGCATTACAATTTCTTCTAGAAAGTGCTAGAGGTTAGTCATACTTAGAGTTAACATCATAACTGCACAAGAAACAAAGCAGCATTTCCTACAAAATGATTGCCACAACACATATACCCAAATACTTTGCCCAGTTGGTTGTCTCATTTTAAGAAATGTATTTTGGTCCTTACTTTTGTGCCATAGGTGTAAGAATCTGTTTCATTTCATCCAAAATGGCCTCTTTCTTTTCAGGCTGTGCTTCTAACATGCTGTCCAGTGTTGAGTGAACTGGTGACTGAAACAAAGACAGCCCATATCAAGTGTTATTATGCACACTGAGTTTTAAGTATCAAAGTATATTTTGGATTCAAAAATCGAGTAGAAAGGGGAATGGGGAACAGGACTCCCAAACACTATATTCAAGAGTTTCCATTCACCTAAGTTGGTTCTTTATACGTTTAAAACAATAGAAGCAATTATATTAAAAAAGATATCATAAGTCAGGATTTAAAAAAAGTTTCTATGAATTCAGTGTAGTCATTAGCATACAAACCTACATATGTTTCTATGCTCTGAACAGGTCCTTAACAACCTATGGAGATAGTCAGGCATAATAAGAAATCTTAAAAGGTAATTAAACTACAGGCAGTCAGGCACCATATTAAGGAATATTTAAACTGCCATGCATTGATGCGTGCATCTCCATGCAAAAGTTCAAGGGGTCAGAGGTATGTATGGCAGCACATTTGTATAATACTGCTTTCATATCCGAAAAGGCTGGGAAAGGAGGACAAAGAACTTACCCACTAAGTGTAAGCACCTTTTGATGTCCAAGTCTATCCCATTACACCAATATCTTTTCCAAGAAAACTAGTTTCAGAAACTTAATCTAGTCACAGGCTCTACTATGGATCACTATCTAGTTAAAAGAAACAAACTGAATTCATAGAATATCCAGGCTTTTTAAGGATGTTTGCTATACTTCATTATAAAACCAAAGCTTTGAAAAAAAATAGTCTTGCACTTATAAGCACCTGTAAACGTGCTTAGGGGCTGCTCTGAAGCACTACAATTACAGCGCCTTGGAACAGACTTGATTAATTGAGCCTGTTGAAGCATGGCAATTACTGCACTCCAGCCAGCCTCTGAGTCTTGTGTGTTAGCACCCCCACACAAGAAAATGACGGTGGGGGCGCTCAAACTAAAGCATGTCAAGTGAGCTTTAGTTCAAGCACCCCCACTGTCATTCTGAAGCACAGGAACACTAATACACAAGATGCTGCAATATGTTAAATTAGAGCAGCTCTCAGAGCCACTAATTAAGAGCTGCACCCCTTCCCCCCAGCATGTGTAAAAGTGCCCATTATAACTGCAAAGAAACTTTAGTAAAAACAGTTAAACAATTGTCCTCAATTATTGATTCTTTGAACCAAAAAAAAAAAAAAACCCCAAAAAAACCAAAAAAACACCAAATTTGAATTCCCCCACCCTTAAAGTTCTTTTATTGCCAGAAAAAACTATATAAATCAGGACACAGAAAGAACCATGGTTTTCTACAAAGGCATACGTTTTTCTAGCAACATAAAATAATAATATGCCCTATCAAGGAAGAATACAAGACACTTTGTTGTTAAATATGAATGCACAGGAATAGCAAACACAAGAAGCATATTTTTAAGTGATCTACTATTGCATCTACCAGGATACAAAAATCTCTGTCAAGGTATTTTCTAGGTGTTTGACTACTTCAAAGTAGGCTTTTTCACCCAAGAATGTTCCAAACGTCGTACTGGACAAGTTAATAAACAAGCAACAAAAGTAGCCTTTTAGAGGACTTAGGGCCCCTCTACACATTACAAGCATTACTCAAATAATTGTGCGATTCATTTAGGCTAGCTACTAGGGCAGTGCGAAACAACACCATTTCGTTTCGACTTCTGTTTCGCCAGGACAGTGTTTCGTTTCAAGTTTCATTTCATTCAGAAACCGCTGTTCCATCTCGTTGAAACTGTTTCAGCGTTTTGCCCATAGGCTATAATGGGGAAGCAGGAAACTGCTTATAAAACTTTCACCTGAATCAGGCAAGAAATGACAAACTTGCAGGCATGGTAGCCCCTTCTGAGGGCAGGAATCCTGCCACGTTTCAAGGAGATGGGTTCAAGAGTTTCTGGGAAACACCTCAAACTGTTTAGAGCAAAACGTGTCACTTGTAAGTGTGAAGGCACCGAGAAAGCTCAGTTCAAACAATGTCTTTTTATGCTGTATTTCCATCCCTCCTCCAGAGCACTGGGATTGGATGGGACCTCAGGAAAGGATCACAGTCACTGGCCAGCTACACAGTCAGTATCAGAGCAGTCCTTGCCCTTCCCCACTCCCTTCCCCCTCCCTCTCCTTAATTTCTCTTTAGTGGCAAGCAAGCCCAGCTTCGAAACTTGAAATGTTTCAAAACTTTCAAAATGTTTCAACTGCCTTTGTTTTGTTTTGAGGCTGTTTCAAAGCATTTCATTTTGTTTCGATTTTGCTATTTCAAGCTTGAAACGCGTCTACGCACAACAGCCAGCAAAATTTCGCACAGCACTACCAGCTACACATATAAAGCAACTATCATGCCATAAAAAGTCCATCCAGCTATAAAGTAAGAGCTGGAAAACGTGTAATAACTTTATAGTTGGTTTCTATCCAGCTTTAAAAATTTGCATGTGTAGCAAGGTAGGACCCCCATGACTAGTGTCAAAGGGTGAAAAAGGAAAGACAGTTAAACAGTGGAAGTAAGGGCTAGGATTTTCAAAGAAAGCTCAAAAAGGTTAACATACCCAGGTGCTGATGGATCTTAAAAATTTTTTACAGCCCCAAACTTTCACTCTCCCTTAAAAAAGAACAAAACTTAGTCAAACTGAAAGCAAAAAATCTCTACTAATGTCTATTGGAAACTATAGTATGCTATATACTATTGCATACTTCAAATTAGTGTTTAGCAACTGAGTGACTCAAGGTGATAGGTGTTAGCAAAAGCATAGTAAATAATGACTCAGCACCAACACGAATAAGTCTTTTAGATTAGAACAGGATAAAAATACTGAAACAATACCTTGTAAATTTGGAATGTGTTCCCATAGAGTTCTTCTGTCAGCATGATCCTTTGCTCCAAAATGGCTTTGTCATTGTAGGCATATTCCACTATAGCAGATGCTTCAGCATGGCGGAGCATTTTTCTCACTTGACCTTTAAAGCTTTTAATTATTTCTGCAACTTGTGCCTTCGTTCTATTCCATGCATAAAAGATAGAAAGTACAAAGGCAAGACATTGACAGAGAACAGAGATGATGTTAACTTTATTTTCAGAAATGTATTTATTTAACAAGCCAATATACACAGTCAGAGCCAACCTGAGGAGGGTGCGGGGCCCGGGGCAAATCAGCTTGTGCAGGGACCTACCCCTGCCCCAATCCTGCGTGCCCTAGATGCAAAGAAGCCGTTGCTAATGGCAGTGGTGCAGGTGTAGCATTTGGTTAAACTTTTTTTTAGTATAGTTGAATCTAGCACAAATGTAGTAATTTGATTTCTGTCTTTTGAAAGGTAGCTGCTTGACTATATTCTATGATGCTTCCAGTTTGACACAAACGAATGAACTTTGTATGCCCTGGGCATGAGAGAGATATGGGCAAGGAGTGAGTGAAGACTGAATGGGAGTTTGCATGACAAGAAGGAGAGAGGATGTAATAGTTTATGTAAGCAATAAGGCGCCAGAGGTGTAAGCCACCAGCCAGCAACTAACCAACAAACGGCAGAAGAATCCCTTTGAAGCTTGAGGGCACAAAGGAGATAACAGAAGCAGAAACGCTGCCATGTGGGCAATAAGAAAACTTCAAGGCCGAGACCCATCTTTTACAACTGTAGTGACCTCAATGTAAAAAAAAAAGATGCGAAGCAGCTGCTAGAAACACAGACTAAGCATGGAAACCCCCTAGGTAGTAAAACAGACTAAAACCATATATAAGGAGAGCACAAATGATGCAAAGCTGGGTAAGAAATCTTCTGTCTTCCTTCTGGAGGACAGGCGCGCCTGCTTCTCACCTTGCTCCAGCTCACCACCATCATCAGCAACAACATCTCAGCTACTCAGTAAACATGGGGTCAGCCACTCTGTGTTAACATTGAGCAACTATTGCTGGTAACTATACCTGGTGTCTATCTGTATGCATAGAATGGTAGTTGTGTGTGCATGTATGTCTGTGTGTAATAATGTGCATGGTGTTTTCTGTGCGTTTGTATGGATAATGTATCAAAACCTCCATGTCTAACTCATGTAATCAATAAACAGGGTACTCTGCCTTATCCCCCTTTATAAAGTCTCGCTTATAATTTAAGCAATTGGCAATTTGTGCAACATAGGGTGGGGTGGCAGGTAAATCAAGCAGCTGGATGCAAAGCTGGTGGTGGCGATGACAGTCACTGCCCAGCTCCATGTGGCCCCCTAAGCACTGGGTCCAGGGAAGTCACCCCAGTTTGCCCCCCCCCCCCCCCTCAGGGATGGCCCTGTACACAGTAATACAGGAAAGGCCTAAGCCTACATTCTTAACCGTACACCCATTGCTCATGGGAAGAGCCAGGAGAATCATGGAGGGAAAAACATCTCTAGGGATCTGGCTCAAAACAAAACGCTTAGGCTTTTGTTAGTTAGAATAATAATCAATAAAATCCTCAAGATTTCTCACTAACAGACAGCAGTAGGCTACTCTCAATTAATGCTGCTTCAGGCATTAGTAACTGCAAAAGACAAATCTCTGTAGGAAGCTATGTAGATTGAGCATACATGGGATGGGGTATATTAGCTACTTGGATCCTGAGTTTGTTAAACAGCTGAAGCTTGTATTCCCGTGGGCATCCAGTATTCCACCTTGTTTTCCTCTTAGCTCCAATCAATTAGAATCAGAAAGGTTAAAGGCTACATACTGAGGAGTACACAGAACTAAGCTCCATAAACCTGGCAGGTCTAGCTGCAAGGAAAACAACTAGAACAAGCAACAGAAGACTGATACAGGGCAAGTCAGGTAAAGAGAGGACAGAAAATAGCTTATATCCTAGACACTATGGCTATCTATTTTAAAAGACCTTAGATAAAACGCTACTGGAAAAAAAAAAAACAAAAACAAAAAAACAAGCCACAGAATAATTTTGAAATGCTTGAGAAATTGAGCAGCGTGTCTTTGCTGGCCTATTTATTATATACACCACACAAGGGTAGGGCATGAGTGTATTTTATTTGCCATTCACAGATAGAGAGCCTACTTTGTAGCAAGAGAACTGGGCACTGAAAAGCGACTGGTTCCCTCCCTCATTCCCAATACAAGGAGTTTCATACGGACAGGGCAGGCTGGACCAGAGCCATTTATTTTAGCTTATGATACACTGGATTATTATGGAACAAGAAAGAGATCAGAGCAGATTTACTTCTTCGTACTCACCCATACATAAGAAACTTCTTTACAATGTTTTTGGAATACTTTGATTTGCTCAATTCTACTAGACTTTCTGCAGGGCAAACAAAAGGGAAAAAAAAAGAAAAAAGGACTGATTGATTTTCATGCCCCCTTGAAAACCTACATGCATGTTTCCATATCTACAAGCAAAGCCCAAAGCCACTGCTCAGTGAGCTGTTATGCCAAAACAGAAATTATACACTTTTTTTTTCTGACAAATAATCATGCACACAAGTCAGAAGACATAATGCCAGAATTTTTGGAGTGCTGGGATAAGTTAAAACAACAACAGAATACAATGCATGTCTTCCAAGACAACTGTAATGTGAATAGGGGGAAAAGTACCTTTTAATTCTTCAAACATCTCCTGCCTTTGCTTGTCATTGCCATACTGAATGAAACACTGGATAACTCGAGTCGAGTCATGAGCAAATGCCAGCTGTAGATGAAATAAAAATAATTTCACGCCTTTCATATAACACTAAGTTCTGCAATATTAATGTACATACTCTTAACTGTATAGTTTTACTGGGGTGCATATGTTGAAATGCCAATTATAAAGCAAACCACTTAAGACAAATATAGCTTTTCTTGCTCCAGTATTCCTCCAAACATACCATATTTACTCACATAGCATTCCCCGCCTCCCCCCACCAAATAAATCAGCCTTCCGAAATTGGGTTGCATGTCTTAAGCAGAGGAACTGATTTTTCTTCACTGGAAGAAAAGCAGGGTGGAATAAAACAAGTAGACAAGTTAATCATGGCCCCTACTTCTCTCCATTATTTACAGAAACTTATATAAAGACCTATTTACAGTAAAGAAGAAACAGTTACTTCCTTTCAAAGACCTAGGGCCAAAATTTGCTGCTATCTTGCCATGCAAGGATGCTCCTGCTGCCTCACCCAGATTGTATCTTGGGATGTGAGAATTCCAGGACACAGCCTGGGTGCCCATGTATGTGCTCCGACACGTTCCAGTTAGAATGCTCTAGCATCACTGCAGTGTCATGTGTGTAAGTGCCTGTGGGTTTAAAAATGGTCTTTAGTTAAAGCATCCCACAGCCATTTTTAAATGCACAGGAGCTTAATACACATGACCAATTAGCTCCACAGTAAACTGTCAGTCGACACGTGCTAGTATTAGGGCACAAATGAATTAAACTCCACCACAGGATAGTATTGTCAGGGACAATACTATGCTACAGCAGAGTAATTTACTCTGTTGAAATATGTAGATGGTGACAGGGGCCCACAGGTGCTAAAATGCAGGGGGCTGCCTGCCACTTAGCTCCACACTTTAGCACCCTCATGCCTTAGCCAGCTTCTCTGCCACTGGGAGCCCAGACTGCCCCTCTCCCTCCCCACAGGGCAGAGCCCAGGGTTGCTCTGCCCTGGCTCAAAGTGCTAAGGTCCCAAGTCTACATGTAGATGCAGTGCCTGGGAATAGCTGAGTCCAGATGTAACAGCTCTGGAGTTTATTGCTACACCTTAACAGCATATGTAGATGCATCCAGTGATATTATTTTACTGAATGGAGGGAGCCCCAGGAAATATACTCTTTGTTTTCTTAATAATCTGAGGAGAGTCGTTGCAGTTTCACTTCAGCAAAATAAATGTTACCAGAATATTTAACCTAATGCAGCACACAGTACTCAGCAGTCACAATTTCAATTTGTTTTGAAACTGAGGATTTTACTACACTTCCCTAATATGCAGCAAACATATGCACTCAAGAAAAAGACTGTAGTTACAATACAAAGGTAAAAACAAAACAAAACAAAACACAGGTATTGTGACATTATGCAGGGATATTTTTAAAGCCTTTATTTGCTTGCAGGTTCTTGCAATTTTAAGTACAACTCTAATGAACTGAAATTGCATGTTAACCATGGTTCATCTATATCCACTGGGGCTCTTGCTAGATTAAAAAAAGTGGCTTTGTTAGCCAAGTAGCCTTGCTGACAGGATTGTGCTCAAAGACTCAGCCTTTTCAAACTGTGCTTCTTCCTTCATTCCCTTTTTAAATCAACATGTTTCTAATCACTCCTGCAGCCTTTGGACCAACAGGCTTGTACTGTGTTGTTTAAAGGGCTGCTTAATACATAGCACTGCACATATTCACATTCTCAAGAGGGGCTTTACTAACTTGCCCATTTCAATTCAATTGCATTTATTGTATTTTCCGTACACTTTTAATTTTCCCCCGAACCAGTTTTTGTAGTTCATTCAGCAGTTTCTTTCGCTTCTCCTTGTCACAGTTTTTCCTATAAAACAAAAGCAGACACATAGGAGACTCTTAAGTAGGGAAAACTTATTTTTTGGTGGGGGGCTGACATAGGATACAGAAGTAATTAGAAGCTGTGAACAAGAAAGCTGGAAGGCAGAGAGAGGGAGGTCCATATTTAGATACCCATTTATGAAAAGCTTAGCGAGATGTGCTTAATTGGATCGCTATTTCCCAGATTCTAGGAGCAAGGAGAGATCATTACCACTATTTCCCAATTACCTGTTTCAAAGAAAAAGATCAACAACCACCCTGCAAAAAGAGTGTCAATCACAACTTTCAACCATATTTGATAACATTACAGAGTATGGGAAACAAAAAAACCCCCCAAAAATCAAGATACAAAGCAAAACAACAAAAAACAAAAATAAAGACTATCCTTTTGCAGCTAATCTTTTTTTTGCACCAAGACCCTACTCCTACCATGTGCAAGATGCTCTCTACTCTGTTAGGGCCCCAGTTGTAGACTAGGACCCACCTGGGCATATCTGTACATATTGAGCCTCAACGAAACCAATGTGGGTTCCTCACTGCAAAGTTATTAGAATCTCAGGTCAGTAGGTCTTGAGGGTATTCAGTCTGGGAGTACTGTATTTTCAAAAAAACACCAATGTTTATGCCAACTTGCAGTTACTTGAATAAACAAATGTGATCCACCCAGGTGCCTCAAAAGCTATTTCTACTTCATCTACCAAAATGTATGCAAAACCTCCACATAATTATAATTCATTAAAATAGAATGTATGATAGCATTCAAAATGGAGAATTATGCCTTTTCAAAAGGTACCAAGCTAGAATGAGCAACCACTGAATGAGTGCCGATTGAAAATAATTGTATGACAGAAAACACCCATTATTACCTTCTCATACTTTCCCATATCTGCTTTGATTTCACAATTGTGTCATAGTTGGTGTTGTCATTCAGTTGTCTGCTTTGTTTTAATTCCTTCTTTTTCTTTTTGAAGTCACTCCATTTAGGCTTCTTAGATACTGGCCCTGAGGACAGAAACATTGTTTGCAGTACAGTAAGTCAGTAAACTTGTGGGAGGTTCTTGTTCATCTTTGTGGGAAGTACAGAAGAAGAGAGACCCACAGCTGTTATAAATCATTGTAGCACCACTGAATTCAGTGGTGCTATAATAGCCAGCACTAGGTAAGGCTCTATTCCATATTGCCAAGCTAGTTAATTTGAATGCATCAATACTAATTAAAACACTTCTTATTAGAGGTACACTGATACATCGGTCCAATATTGGATAGGTACCGATATAAAGAAAATTGTCTACATAGAATATCAGCCAGATGGGGCTGATAAATGCCCATGCTGCACAGAGCTGCAGCACAGCACAAAGCAAAGCCGGCAGCATGGACAGCTGCTGTCAGCTGGTAAGTTGGAAGGGGAACGGGGATGGAAAGGGCCTGGGGGGCAGATCAACAACCACCACAATGAGGAAGGGGGCAAAGGCAGGCACTGCCCAGGCAGGGCAGGGAGGGGGTATGGGATGGAGGCACGGCTCATGGAGGTGGGGGCAGCTCCTGGAGATGCTTGCACCCTGGGAGGGCAGGGGAGCATGTTCCTGGATCTGTGTGGCATGGTGCAGGCTGCAGCTGTGGGGTGAAGCCAGAGCCGATGCTGCGCAGGGCTTTTCTTACCAGAAGCTGGGCTCAAAGCAGACTCTGGCAGTGCTGGGAGGAAGCTGCAGCCACCCCAAATTTCGCCACAGCTCCACTCCCAGCCCCACACCACCACTTGCCACAGCCCTTCCCCAACACTTAGGTGGAGGTGAGGTGTTCAGCTGGGGCTGCACTGAGCAGCAGTGTGGGGCTTGAGAGCAGAGCAGCAGTGAAATCTGGGGAGACTGCAGCCTCCTCCCAGTGCTGCCAGAGCTTACTCCGAGTCCAGCCCCCAGCAAGAAAAGCCCCATGCAGCATCTGCTCTGGCAGCGCAAGCAGCAGCAGGAGTCACCCCCACCCCACGAGCTGCACCTGTGTCCTGTGCCCCACCCTGGCTAGGCAGTACCTGCCCCCGCCCTCCCTGTTGATCTGCCCCCAACACCCCTTCCCTCCCCTCCCTCCACAGACTTACCACCTGATAGCAGCTGTAAGTCGGATTGGTATTGGCCGATACGCCCTTTAAATAAATTGGCTATCGGTATTGGCCCCCAAAAATCTCTATCAGTGCACCTCTGCTTTTCATGACTAGCAATTTCCACTTAGGAGACATCCAATACTGGAAGGACAAGTATACTTCATGATTTTTTCCATGAAGTTTGACAGAATGTTGTAACTGGATTAATTTTGGCTTCTCTTCATGGTCTATCCGCTGACTCAGTCAAAATAGGGTCTAACACACTCCTTTCTCTCTCAACTCCTGCCATTCATTCAAAAGGTAGGCTTGAATTTTTAGAAGCATATGCAACTTAAAAGCACTTATTTTTATATTGCCTTGAACAACAAGACAAGCATATGGGTACAAAGTAAAACCTGGTAGGTTTCCTGCCTTTTGAGAGAGAGAAAAATCTGGGACAAGATTTAAACATACTGCCGCAAAACCTTACACAACACAACTCTGACCAGTGCTGTGGGCTACCTCTTTTTTAGGAGGGAGGTAACTAGAAAACTAAAACATTTAAAAGGGGGGCAGGAAAATGAAACAAAAAAGGCACCAATCAACAGGCAATCAAAGGCCACACGACAAAGGCAACTAATTTTCTGAACTATCTTCTCCCTATTAACTTGTCAAACTTATTTTTCTGGAGTTTGTTCAAGGAGGTATTTAGGTAGGTCGATACTCTCAACAGATTAAATTCAATTATAGATTTTAATATAACACCTAGCAATTACCTATTACCATTTCAAATGAAAAGCCTTTTTGTAAGCTTAATCCTTTTATTCACCAGGACTCATTAAATGGGATCTTTTGTTACACAGTAGCTAAACACAGCTGCTTAGCAACCTTAATAAAATTGAAGAGAACTCTTCATATAAAAAGATATAATAAATGAACTTCAAGGTAAAAGAAAAAAAATGGATTAAATGTTTGCTTTTAGCTTTAATCATCTCTTAGCAAAACTAATTATACTATAATATCATTCCCAGTAGTGGGGGGGGGGGGGGGCAAAGGGCAAAAAAATCTTGTTTGGACCAAAATAAAATTCCCTTAAAACGGGTTAATTTAAAAACTCTTTTTTTA